CACAGCCGAGGGGCCAGCGGAGGCCCGGCGTCCTCTGCTCCGGAGCCCAAGAGCCCAAGCTGAGTGTCACGGTCAGCACCGGTCACTGCCGGGCGTTAAACCCACAGCGCCCCGTCCCTCCTAGCTGGTTCCCAAGCCGCCACCGGCTCTCAGCCATGGCAAGGACACTCCCACTCTCAAGGGCCTCCAGCCCTGGTCACCCCAGAGCGCCTCACAGCCCAACAGCCCTCCCGCCGCCCTGGTGCAGAGGTCTCCCAGGGCCTCGCAGCGGCATGGGCATGGCGAGCGGGGGGCACTCACCGAGGTCGGCCAGGAAGTGCAGGGCGCTGGGGTGCTGGGCCAGGGAGCGCAAGCCCTGGATCCAGCCACTGCGCACAGTGGGCGCCATCCAGGCCACTCCGCCAAGGGGGCCGGCCTCCCCGAAGAGCCCGGGCAGCAACTCCCCCTGCTGGAGGGAGAGGGAGTGGGCCCTGGGCAGCTGGCTCCTGGGAGCCGTAAACAAAGGCTCGCCCATCCTGTGGTTCCTTTCAGGGATCCCCCCAGAGCGGCACCCCCACGGGCCCACCTCTGCCAGGACAACCTGGCTTAAGGACCCCCTGGTGTCCTGGCCTCCTGGCCCCGGCCTGGGGGGCCATCTCCCCCTCCCGCTGTCCCCACCTGGATGCCCCCGCACGCCCGGGGGGTCAGGCTGTCCCCGGCCCCATGCACACCCCTTACAAGACAAGCCACTGCGGAGACTTGGGGTGTGACAGCCACCTCTGCTTCCGGCACTTGCCGGGGCAGAAGGTGCGCACTCGGCGGCCGGCGGCCAGAGGACGGGCTCACCTGCAGGAACTGGAAGCAGTCCTCCTGGGCGGCGAGCAGGCCCGCCAGGCGGAGCGAGAAGGCGAGGACACGGGGACTCAGGCCCGGGGCCCTCGGCACCTGCAGCAGCAGCTCCACCAGGCAGGGGCTGTCCTGCAGCAGCTGCAGGCTGGACCCTGGACAAGGGCCAGTGGGGCCGTCACCGCACAGCCACGCGTCCCGAGGGCTGCTCTCCGGCCGGCAGCTCCCACCCCCTCTCAGGCCTTTAGATGGAGCAGCTAACGGGAGGACATGTTTACAGTAGCGGCCGCAAAGGGTCCATCACTTAACTCAGCGGTTCTCACCCTGTGGGTCGCGACCCCTTTGGCGGTCGAACGACCCTTTCACAGGGGTCCCTAAGACCATCCTGCATATCAGATATTTACATGACGATTCCTAACAGTAGCACCATGACAGTTATGAAGTAGCAACGAAGATAATTTTATGGTTGGGTCACAACATGAGGAACTGTATTAAAGGGCCAGAAGGTGGAGAACCACTGCCTTAAGGCAGGGAACAAACTAGGAGGCCAACACCTCACACAGGTCCAGGGCGCAGACAGGAAGTGCGGGGCCGAATGACCGGTGCTGCCGATTATGAAAGAGACGCGAGTTCCAGCAGGACCATCGTTCCCTCTCAGGTGGACACTTTCCTTAAACTGAGCGAACGTGATGCCGGAAGCACATCAGGCGGCCGTTCCTGCCAACCGCACCTCCGCGTCCACCCGCACCGACCGCCCGCGCCATTCACGCCACTCACGGACGGAGGCACCACGGATGAAGGCGGGTCCCAAGCAGGGCCCCGGGCGAGGACGCCGCACACTGAGCTTCGGGGGGAAGGGAACGGACAGGGCGAGGAGGAGGGGGCAGCAAGAAGGGCAGCCACAGACCGGGCAATCTACAGGCACCGCTGTCAGGGCTGGGGCTGGCTCCAAACACCAGACAACAAGGGCCCAGCGATCGTGCCGCCCGGAGGAACCGAAGACCCTCGGACACAGACGCGCAGAGGAGATGCTAACGAGCTGGAGGGTGGCCGCTCAGGTACTGGCGTGGGACGCGCAACTTCAAAGCCGGAAGAAAGGGCTGACAAATCCGAAAGCTTAGCCGCCGTGGAGGGCAGGACAAGGAGGGAAAGGAGCAAAGACAGGGAAACGTAAAAGGACGTGGCGAGAACAGGTTCAGATAGAACAGGAAGCGAACGGAACCGGTCCGCGGGGTGAGCAGAGCTCACGTGCAGACCACAGGCCGCGCTGCTGGCATGGGAGACGTGCGGGCTGAGGGCGGAGGGACAGCCGGCATCTTCCAACCGTAAAAAGCGGCTTCAACACGAAGAGCCCTCAGGGCTTCAGAAGGAGCCATTTCAGAGGCGACAGACCGCCAGCCTGCTCGCTCCCCTCGCCAAGGCTCCCGAAGGGAAAGGAATTCCCAAAGAAAATTCTCTTTCAGCCTAAGGTGCTCACACGCCTCGCAGAAACAGCCACGCAAAACGAGAAGAACAACAAACACGTGAACGCAGGAACAGGCGTGGAGCTCGTAGACAGGACACAGGGAAAGCGAGTGCCGCCCCTGGGGGTGGGGGGTGGGGCTCCTGGGCACCAGGCCTCTTTGGGGAGAAAAATGTTGCAAAGTGAGGTTGTGGCGATGGCTGCACAGCCCTGTAAATGCACTAAAAGCCACTGAAGTGTACACTTCAAATGCGTCAGCTGCATGGTAAATCCATCAGTATAGCTCAGCATAGCGGATCAAAACTATTTTTTAAACTGTGACTACAGCCCTAGCTCGTTTGGCTCAGTGGATAGAGCGTCAGCCTGCGGACTGAAGGGTCCCAGGTTCGATTCCTGTTAAGGGCACATGCTTGATCTGCAGTAGGGGGAGTGCAGGAGGCAGCCAATCAGTGATTCTCTTTTCTGTCTCTCTCCCCCTCTCCCTTCCCCTCTCAAATCAATAAAGATATATTTAAATAAATAATGTGGCTTACAAACGAGGCCACCAGGACACAGCAGAACACAGCACATGCAGCAGACTCTACACAACATCTGCAGAAACTCCCCGTGCAACGCCTCTATCAGACCTCAACAGGTGTAAGAAAAGTGAGACGCAGATACTGTCTACCTCCAGTGAAATAAATGAGTAATCAACAGGGAAGACGGAAAGAAACCCATGTTTTGCATCTAAAAGACACCCCTTTAAAGAATTTGTGGCCGAAGAAAACAATCATCGTGGAAAGTATGAAACCCCTGGAACTGCATCCCAGCAGAAGCACTCACCACCCGGGACAGCCTGCGGGAGGGCGGGCGGAAGGCCCTGTCAGAGGAGCGCGTGTAGGAGAAAACAAGAAAGGCCTCAACGTTCCACCCAAAAGAGGGTAAGAGACTGACTAAGGGGAAACAGCAGAAGTCAGTGTCAGAGACTTGTGGCACTGTTTATAGGAACGAACCGTTAGAGACAGGATCACCTTACGATGGAGACGTGATTAGGTAAAATCTAGTGAATGACAGTAAATCAACCTGCTCCATGCAGAAATCACTGCTGTGAGGTAAGAGAGAAGCGGCAAGACCCCACACTGTACGATGGTGGGACCTCGTGTTTATAAGAAACACTAGAGGCCCGATGCATGAAATTCGTGCAAGAGAGGCCCTCCCTCCCCCGGCTGCCGGCACTGGCGTCCCTCTGGCACCCAGGACCCGGGCTTCCCTCGCAGCCCAGCTTCAGAAAGGTCGTCGGTCTAATTAGCATATTTCGCTTTTATTATTGTAGACACAGCTTCGTGTTAGGAAAATGGCCGGCAGGAAATAAAAAGGTGACTGGTTTAATTTTCCTCTTTGCTCCTTTGTGTTGCTGAAGTTTTAGTATATCTCTACTGACTTCAGAGAGGAAGGGAGAGAGAGGGATGGAAACATCCATGATGAGAGAGAATCACTGATCAGCTGCCTCCTGCACGCCCCACACTGGGGATCGAGCCCACAACCTGGGCATGTGCCCTGACCGGGAATCGAACCCTGATCTCCTGGTTCACTGGTCGATGTTCAACCACTGAGCCACCAGCTGGGCATGTGGTTGAAGTTTTATATAAAGAATATGTGTTACGCCCCTGGCTGGTGTGCTCAGTGGTTAGTGTCAGCCTTGCACGGAAGAGTCTCGGATTCGATTCCCGGCAAAGGAATACCGGGGCTGCAGGTTTGGTGTCCAGCCCCGGTCTGGGCATGTGCAGGAGGCAACCACATCGATGTTTCTCTCTCTGTCTCTCTCATCCCCCTCCCTCCCTTCAATCTTCTCTAAAAAAATCAATGGGAAAAATATCAGGATTAAAAAAAAAAAGTTTTACTTTCATAATCAGAGAGAAAACAAAGCCGACTTTTTAATAAAGGAAAAAAATGCATTGAGAACAGGAAAATGCGTGTGCCCTCGCCCTCGGCAGCCACCTAGCACGGACAGAACTGCGGAGGCCTGAATCCGGCTGGAATCGGTAAACTTCAAGCTGCAGCTCTCGCGCCCTGATCACTTCCTCACCCTGATGTGACCCCAAGTAGCCAGGGGGGGTCATCAAGATGTGAGGGAAGGACACTGACCAGATGGGGACCCCTTCTCCAGGACAGGGAAGCCCTGTGCACCCTCTGGCCTCTGGGGAAAGTCAAGAACAGCGCCCCTTACCTGCTTCAGTTAGGGTTTTAAACCAGTCCAGCAACTTCTCCAAGCAGGTGTCATCTGCCACGGACTGCCTGGGGTCTGCCAGGGCCGCACAGAGAGCCGGAAGGAGCTGGGCGCACTCGGGGTCCATGACGAGGCCGGGGGTCCTGCAAAGGAAAGGTCAGGCCCGGCCCGCACCAGCCCTAGTCGCAAGCAGCCCCCCTGCCTGCTCAGGGCCCAGGGCTGCCAGACGGCGGGCGGGTCGCAATGATCCCGACCATGGGGTGATGCAGGCACCCAGGCAAAGCCTCAGCCCGGGGCGGGGGCCTGGGAGGGAGTCCCTCTGCTGTAAACCACGAGGCCTTAGAAGCTCCAAGCTGCCAACCGTGGACTCTGGTGGGAGGGTAAGAGCATGATGCTCACCTAGGCTGCAGGCGGACCAGAGATGGGGTGCGGGTACGTCCGGGGCAGCTATGTGCACAAGTGCCGCCCAGTCCGGGGTCAGCGCGTCTGAGTCCGGGAACACTGCGGCCAGCGGTGTGTGTCCACACTGCCCGTCCCTCCCGAGCCGGGTGTGCACCTGCGTGTGGGGCCTGGGCGAGGCAGGGGTGGGGGCGGGGGCCCTCGTGTAAACGCGGGCCTTCGCCCGAGGTCCCGATCCCGCAGACCTGCACAGACACCGGAACCCTTCTGCACGCAGCTCATCCACTCCGGTCCGTCCGCCGCCGAGGCCCCGCCCTCCCCCACAGGCCCCGCCCCGGACCGCGCCACCTGCTAAACCTGGAGGGGGGAGGACGGGACGGCGGGAAGGGGGAACCGCGAGAGCTCACGCGAGACCACTCTAGAGCCCAGGAGGCCCGAGCTTGTGAGCAGGATCAACCTGAAAAGCGTCGGGGGCAGGCCAGCGCCAAACTGGTCGCCCCTACCGAGGACATCCCCCCTCCGGGATACTCAGTGGTACGTGCCAGAGCATCCGACGGGCGTAGCGCCAGGAAGGCGGGGCTCCAGGAAGGGGCGGGACTATCCCCGGAAAAGGCGGGACTGTCCCGGAAGGGCGTGGCCCACCCAGGCACTGGACCTCTGAGCTGGGCTGGGAGGTGGAGCACGTGCCCGAAAGGGGCGTCTTCACCCTGGAGGCAAAGTCTGCGGTCCCTGGGCCCTCTGGGGCCCGCCGCTGCCCGAGGTCCTTCAGGCTCGCGGATAAAAACAAAAACAAGGCTCATCTGTACAGAGTCAGTTTTCAGCAGCATTTTGGGGGAAATACCTGACCTGCAGGCACAAGGAAATGGGAAGCAGAATTCCTATGTGTATTAAAACAAAGTAAAAGGGGGCTTTTAACACGTGAACTCTGATGGAGGACCCACTTGGGACCACACCCTGCTGGTCCTCACCCCCCGGCCCTCATAAGCACTTGGGTGCAGAGGTCAGACCGCCCTATCGCCCGCCCTGGGCTGGGGGGGGGGCGGGGGAC